GTGGGATTCTGTCCATGCCGTGAGTCTCTGTGGGATTCCGTCCATGCCGTGACTCTCTGTGGGATTCTGTCCTGGCCATGGCTCTTCTTCTCCCATTCATGTTCATTTTCCATATATTTCCCATGAAAGAGGAAGGAATAGTGGAAAAAAAAATAGTGCAGGAGGAAAAGAGCAAGCTTTTCTTTCTGAGTTTATTTTGTAATGTTATAAATCTTTGGACTCCTGCAATTTTTTTAAAAAGTAAACTAAAGAAAAACCTCCACGTAAGTATAGGAAAGGGAGGGAAGATTCAGGAATAACATGAAGGGTGTTTCCAGATGGGTCACAAGCTCATTAGTTCAGATCGGAAGCTGTGAAAGCCCGAGGAGAGGCTTGGCGGCACGCAGAGGCGTAAAGCGAGGTTGCAGACTGGTGGCCTCCTGGCCAAATTCCACTGACATGTTTTGTTTGGCTCCCATAATATTTGAAAAATATTCAAATCAGTTTAAAATGTAGGAGTTTTCATAATAGAACCTTTGGTTTCCAGCTTTTCTTAAGGAATGGGGAGCCCTAGTGTCAGGGCTGTGACTGGTTGGGGGCTGACCTGTGAAAGGGGCACGGTTCCTGTTCACACCCCTGCCTAGGAAGTTCTGGACTTGCTATTGCAAGAACACTTCCCAACTGGGTGACTCTGGGATGGCACTGGCCAGACTCTTTGTCCTCAGCTGCCCTGGCAGCGTGTGTGAGAGAGCACGTCGTAAACATGAAGCCCAGCGGGCCTGCGAGGAAGGAATTCCCAACAACGCAGACGCCACTGGCCAAGGGGGCATTAGGGAGGAGATGCTCGTGACAATTGTGGACATGTCAAGGGAGGTCCCTGCAGCCTGCTAAGACATGCCAACCATTTCCTTCCTTTAAAATATATTTTTAAAATGTGTTTTAAGAATCTGTTTGCTAAGATTAGTATGATTATTTTACGAGATCCATGCAGTCTACATGGTGCTTTATAGGGCGTATCCAGCCACAGCTGGCGCACTTCTGGGTGTTTTATGGCAAATTATTCTCAGATTACCCTTTAATGCAGGAAGGTCTGCCTGTTGTCTGAGCTCCCTGGGTCATATAGAAAACCCTCGGACTTGATACAAAACAGCTGCCTCAGTCAGCTCTTCCAAAAAAGGAGCATTTTTAGGCTGAAGCAGCAGGAAAAAGGTTTTTGGAGCTGCTGGAGGTTTTGAAAAATGTTAAATTACTCTTTCCTTGCCATTAAAATGTGATTTAATTTGGCGATTAACAAATTGTGTAAATCTAAAAAGAAGTAGTCCAAATGGGAGTTTGTTAAGTGCTTTCTGGCAATACTTACAGTATGTCCTGGGGGGCTATTCTCCAGGGAGGGCGGCAGCGCAAAACTCCCGCTGACCTCCACATCCCCGGGCCGCAGCCTGGCTGGGCCGGGGTCAGGGGGCCAGCCCCTTGGCCTCCCTCCTGTCTCTCCCCTGGGTCCCTGCTGAGACCAGCAACAAAAGGGTCAATTGTCTGAGGCCTCCCTTTGTCTCAGGGGCTCTATGGGCCTCTCTGAATGCCACAGTGTCTCCTTGCACGTGGGCAAGGGCGTGTGTGCACATCTGTAGGAATGTGTATATGTGCGCATATGTGCATATGTACTGGTGCATGATACACATGCATGGGAGTGTTGTGTAAGCATGTGCACATGTGAACACGTACTTAGCCATATGTACACACACAGCATGCATCCAAGTGCATGTGTACACATGTGCATGCACACATGTATGGATGTGTGAGTTTGTGCCTGCACCCACATGAATATGCACGTGTCTGTGCGAGTTGGGTGTGAGTGTGTGCACATGTGCATGTATGTGCACACACAGGCAGTGGTGAGACTTGTTCGAAGCATTTCTGAGTTGCTGATGCTTCTTAGCAAGGTGAGTGCTCAGTGAGGGCTGGCTGGCTCATGGCGGTTCCTAAGGCCAGGAGAGAAAAGTGTCTTTGGGCCGTCTCTCAGCAGATCACACAGTTCCCTTTATCTGGTATTTACTGTGGTACAGAGACCTCAGAGAATTTTCTACCTCCCCTGCCCTCTCCAGGGCCAGGTAGCATGTAGGAGTGAGGAGGAGCAGGCATAGGGAGGCTCCTGACACAGCTCATTGGCCTCATTTGCCTGTTCTAACCTGGGGTTTCACAGCAAGGCCCACAATAACTTTTCTACACTGTTCCAGCATCTTCTCAGGGCTGCCTAATTGGATCCTGCATTCTGTCTGGCGTTTAAGCCACATTTCCAGAGTGACTGTGCAATGCCCCCTTCCCACGCACCCTATACGTTGGCTGCCACGTAGCTCCAGGGCCTTTGCGTCACTTCCAGTCACCTTGTTCCCAGCACGTCTTTACCTGGCCTGTTCACACTGAGCCTGCAGGATGCTGCGGCTGGTCTGTGTGATTCCACGATTCACAATTTCTTCCCTAACAAGGATGTCCTTTTAAAAATGGCAATAAAACATATTTGATTCAGAAGCCAGGAGAAAACTAATAAAAATGCTTTATTGAAATTCACCTCTGTGAAGGATTTATCTCCTGTCCCCTTTCAACCAGCACAGCTACCATTTAACAACGTTTTCTGCTTTTTTCTTATTCTTGTCCCTCCCACGCCCATTTCCTTTCCCTACTCCAGCAAAGGCTTATCTTTCAACAGTGGAAAAGCCACCAATTAAACAGTACTCCAAAGCTTATCAAAATATTCAGTCAGTAAAATTATCTTCTAATTAAGCCTAACTGTAAGCCAGAACCTTTTAACCCCAGGAAATGTAAAGTTACCCGGCAAGTGAAATCTGTAAATTGCTTGTTCTGACCTTTCGGCTGCAGTTTCTGTTTTTATTTGATTCCCCAAATAATTTCCTCCTTGTTCTTTAACTCCTTGATTGTCCCTGAGGCATCTTCTTCTTCTATTTGCTTAAGTCTCAAAGAAAATATACTCCTGGCTTTGTTGAGAAAGATAATTGAATAAACTCAGGTGAGTGGGATGTGACCCCAGCTTGATGGTATATATATTTCATGCCTTCACTTCTAGATATGCTTTTTGTAAAATTAAGCCTGTTCTCCCTGATTCCTGGTGGCTCATTGTTGTTGGTTCTGTATTTCGGGTGTATACAGTGGTAACACCCAGACGGATTATTCTGGAGGCGAGTTATTCAAACACTAGCTGGGGGATTCTGCAGTATGTCGAGCTGGACAGAGACGTTGTGCTTTCTTATCTCAACGATTTTACTTCTAACTCTCCTATCCCTCGGGTCTTCCCCACCCCTCCGCCCTCCCACTGCCCAGGGACCCTCACGTCGTCTTGCAGCACCCAGGATAGCGCCGCAAAAGTCACCTCCCACCCCCACCTGCGTGGGGGCCGACATCAAGGGAACAGGCAATGATGTCTTAGGGATAAGTGCAAGTTAGGTAGACTTTTTGCCCAGATGTGATATTATAGATGATGCTTTGGTTTTTAACTGCCATGAGTTTCTTGAAGGAGTAATGCCATGGTTCAGGCACAACTGAGTTAATGAGACTTACATAGGCCTGGTTGTGACCGATCATTGTTTTTCACATGAAATACTTTCAAAGTTCTGAAAACTAAATTAAAAATTAATTTTAGAATGTGACAACCTTTTCATAAATGGGGTATTGCCTTTATATAGTGGTAGTCATGGTAGATATTATTTATAGTTTTTCCTATCTGTCAGGCAGTATGCACCACACGCAGGCACAGACACAGATATAAACACAAATATAGAAAAATTGCTTAATTTTTACATGAATGCTGTGAGAAAATAACTATTTTGTCCCTTTTACGTTTGTGAACACTGAGGCTCTGAGTTTAAATAACTTGCTGATGCCTGTAAGTTAGCAGTGAGCGTGTTTGGCGTGACTCTTCTGTAATCCACTACTGACCTTGCATGAACTAGGCGAGGCCCATGCTGCATGATTTGACCTCTAATTACGCTTGAGAAGTTTCCACGACACCCCCGCAGAGTAAAGAGGAAATCACAGTGTCACCTGGGCCTCCAATGTCTGGGCCCAGCAATTGTGTACACTTTCTCTTGGTGCCACACATGTATCGCAGGCTGGATTTCTTTTCTGTCCTTGAGCTTATGGGATCAGCGTGACATCTGTGCTCATCTCCACAGGAGGCTCTGGCCCTCCAGCTGGTCAGTGCCCTGGGGTAGAGGGGAGAGAGGGGACCACTCCCAGGACCTGGGCGTGGCAGTGATCTTCTGCTGTGAGCCTCACAATCAGCTGCTCTCGGCAATCCCATCCTTTCACGGCTTTGTCTCAGAGCTCGAAAAGCCTTGTTTTGTTCATGGAAACAGAGAGTAGGATGGTGGTTGCCAGGGGCTGGAGGGTGGGGATGAGTGGGGAGATGTTGGTCAAAGGCTACAAATTTCCAGTTATAAAACAAATAAGTTCTGGGATCTGATGTACAGAGGGTGACTATAGTTAACAATACTGTATTGCATATTTGCAACTTACTAAGAGAGTAGATCTTTAGTGTTCTCACCAAAAAAGAAAAAAAAAGGTAACTGACAGGTGATTGATGTGCTAGTAAATGTGATAATGTGTGGTAATCATTTCACAATGTATACGTATGTTGAATCGTCACATTGTACACGTTATATATACACAATTTTATTTGTCAATTATACCTCAGTAAAAAGTAAAAATTTAAAAAGCGAAAAATAAACAGCCCAGTTTTGGAAGTCTTTTCTGATGAGAGACAGCTTCTGTCTAATCCACGATGAAATATTGTGGGTCTCTTTAAGACTCTTTCAAATACAATTATCCTTTACGAGCTAAGTTGAAACTAAAAATCTATCAATGTAGATGACAATGTATTATTTATGAAGCATTAGCAATAGAGCATTTTAGCAAATGTTTAACAAATAATCAACAGTGTTAATTTTCTTGTGATTTCAGCATATTCTTGATATTACTTAATATGTATTTCTCTCTCTTTTTGATTACAGCTTGGGTTGACGATAGCCATTCGCTATAGCCACAGGTAAAGTTCATTTTTTTTTTTCTTTTATAGCTTTTGGTCAGCTGGAATCTACAGGTCTTTTGAGCTTAATTTTGCTGGCTGCTCTACCCATGGTGTCAGTGTCACAGCAATTAGATGAGATTGTTCTAGTGGCTTGATTGGCGAGAGTTAAGCACTATCTGGAGGAATAAGATTTTTATGTAAAGTGGTGGCAGGTAGCTCATTTGTTTTAAAACAAGAAATGTAATGCTCTAGGGCCAGCCCCATTGGCCTAGTGGCTAGGTTCTGCCTCAGCAGCTTGGGTTCAGTTCCAGGGTGCTGACCTACATCACTCGTCTATCAGTGGCCATGCTGTGATGGCGATTCACATACAAAATAGATTAAGATTGGCAGCAGATGTTAGCTCAGAGCATATCTTCCTCAGAAGAAAAAAAAAAAATATATGTATATATATATATGTATAATGCTCTAGAGCAGGGACACAGAAGTGATTTCTGGGTAATGTACTCTGGCTAAGGGTGAGAACGGAAAACAAGGTGGTCCTGCATGAGCGGCAGGGCCAGGCCAACAGAGGGCCAGGTGAGCCCTGCCCCCTCTATGCGGGGCCTCCACCTCCTGTCTTAGATGCACCTGAGAATGACTAAAAGCCCCTGTTTTTGCCTTGCCTCATGATTTCTGCCTTTGTTTCAATTGCATCATATTTATGAAAAATGTTTGTTTCTTGTACTGGTATCAAACCTGCCCCTTTGCATGCATCAAAATGTACTAAAGTGTTGAATTAATTAAAGTAAGTTCCAGCCCCAGTGGAGGGGCGCTAAGCAGTATGCTCCTGTCCTCACACAAACTGTGTGCACAGCCTCCCCAAAGTGCCACCCGCTGGTGACGGGCTTCAGCTCACCTTCCTGGGGTACAACGGATGGCTCTGGACACCTGGCCAGCTCTCCACAAACAAGTCATGGTTACCTGATTTCAAAATGAGTGTGCCTTCTAAAAATGCTTGTAACAAGTTATCTGCAGGCTTACAGTGAAATGTGAATTGGGCAATAAAGTGGGCGGTCACCAAGACTTGGAAAGCTGCTGGGGAGCTGGGGAGGTTAGAGCGGGAGGTGGCCAGGAGAGGATGGACCCGGGGCAGTAGAAGTGAGTGTGTGGGAAGAAAGGTGTTACTGTGGGGCATTTCTGGGTACCCTTGGAGGAAAGCTGCTCCCGAGAAGCCCTTGATGGCTTTTACGTTTTGGAGTCATAAGTGTGCCTGGTGCTTGCACATGGCGAGGCATAGTGGCCTGCAGAGCACGCTCTTCCCTTGTGCTGAGAGGCACGTGGGCTCCGCACATAGGAAGTGTGGTGTGGACTGTGGGCCCTGGACTCCGTGCTGGCTGGATGCTGGGGTGTGTGTGTGTGTGTGTATGTATGGCAGGCAGCTTGGAAATGCTCTCCCTGGAACTTGCAAGAGCCTCTTCTGGAGTGTCCTAAATGTGATCTGCTCTTCTGCTCTAGAATGGGGGGTGTGTGTGTATGAGAGAGAGAGAGACAGAGCGAGAGATTTTACCATTTCCTTTCTTTTCCTTCGGTGGGATTTCCCTCCTCTGTGAGTCTTGTGCCTCAGAAAAACTGCTGCCTGTCCCTCTGTGAGCTGAAGGTGCCTCTTCCCCGGGACAGCCGAGCTCCTGCTCTCCTTCGGGGAACAGACTGTGCTCTCTCCCACGATGGGGAGGGCTCCTCTGCTGTGGCGCGTTCTAACGTGGGCAGACACTCAGAGTTTGTACAGAGCTTGAGAAGAAAGCTCTCTTTTTAACGCTTCGTCAGGCTGAGGGACTTCCACCCACCCGTGGACCTTCTCGAATCATGGAGTCAGGTGAGAGTGGAGCGGGATAGATGGAAGGGGTCCTGGCTGGATGGGCCTTTGCCCTGCGCTTGACTGTGGCCCAGGCCTGTGTCTGTGCAGAGAGTCCTGCTCCCCCACCGTGCCCGGGGTGGGTGCTGGCACCGTTCTGTATTGTCACCGACACCACCCCAGGTTGGTGGAGAGTCTCCTCTGGGCTGCACACGTTCTTCGCTGGGGAAGGAAAAATGTACTCTTACCCTTGACTGGGCGGCGATTCAGATCCGCGTCCCCATGGGGTGGGGGGCAGCGGGGGTGCTCTGGAGGGAAGCGCTTTGCTCGGAGTGTAGAGCACTTTTCCTCTGGTTCCCCGCTCCCCAGAGCAGACCAGCCTCGCTGAGGAAATGTGGTGGGTAGACATGGTTACGACGCTGAGTCGAAAGGTGGGCCCCCGAGCTGAGAACAGGAGCTCCATTGTGATGAAGGCTGTTGGGGGCAGTTAACAAAACTTGATTCTAGAGAGGGTAGAGGTTTGGAATTGCTCATCCTGTGGTCACATTTATGGAAACTGCCCCAGTTCCCATGGCCGCCTAATGTCACTGAGCTCCCATTTATCGTGCTCGCGCATGGGTCAAGGATTTGAAAAGGGCAGCGAAGATGGCTTGTCTCTGCCTCCCAGTCTGGGGCCTGAGCTGGAAGACGGAAGGGCTGGGGACAGAGTCACGTGGAGGCTCATTCACTCGTGTGTCTGGTGGATGATGCTGGCTGATGGCTGGGGGCCTCTGGTCCTCTCTGTGTGGATCTCCACATGGGCTAGTTTGGGCTTCCTCACAGCATGGTGCTCGCCTTTCTCTGAGTGAGTGTCCCGGAAAGAGAGAGCTGGTGGAGGCTGTCTCCTTTCTGTGACCCAGCCTGGGAAGTCACAGAGCATCCCTTCCACCTTGCTCTACGGGTTGGAGCAGTCCCAAGCCCCTGCTTGCATTCACAGGGAGGGAGCAGAAACCTCACCTCTCAGCAGGAGCATCGGTCAGAGTGTTACAAGAGCGTGTCAGGTGGGAGATCTTCACGTGGTCATCTTTGGAGAATGCAATCTGCCAAAGAACCCGACTGAATGTTTGAGTACTACTTATTTAGAGCACTTGTGAAAAGAAATTTAAGAGGCTGTCTGTGCTACAAGGCACTTACTAGTTGGAGATGTACAATAGGGATGTGCGAAGAATACTTAAGGATAGCCACAAGTCCTAGAGGAGGAGGTAAACCAATCAAAGGAGGCTTCTTAGAGGAAGCAAATCTGAAACCATTCTCCTTCTGCTAAAGTGGGAGAGTGAGAGGCAGGCCCAGCTGGCACAGGCAGATGCCCCTGGCAGGCTGATAATGCTGGTCCCTGAGAAGACATAGTCTTTAAGTTACTGTTGGACATTTATCTGGAGGAGACGCAGAGTGTGGAGGGATGGGCTGGATCCTGGCTGCCTCAGCCTACCTTCTGTAGCCCTGGTACTTCAGCCTCAACCCGAAACTTAGAACCCACTCCTCAGAACAAAGGGCCTGCGCAGAGCTGGACAGAATGCTGGCGGAAGTTCAGCCGCTGTCTGTCCTACACGAGATCTCTCTTCAGAGGCCGGGCCCCACCTCAGCAGCTTGGCAGTATGCCCCTGCACTCCTCCCGGCCAGGCCACCTTCTGGGCTCTCATGGGAGATGTCCTGGCGAACGTGGCTGCCCCTGTGCTGTGTTTCCAGGGGTGTTTGCCTCCAGGCTGTCCTGTCCTCTGTTCTGGCTCTGGGGTGTCAAGTTCAGAGCAGGGAGTCATGGATATTTACATAAATGCAGCGAAAAACAGACAAAACTCGAAATAAGTCACCACGGAAAGTAATGAGATTGAGGAGGAGGAAAGAGAAGAGATCTACAGAGACTCTCTTGCAAGCTCCAAGGTCCTTCACCATCTACCTCGGGGTCTGGGGACCCCGGAGCCAGTGGTGGCCCAGTGAGGGCAGTATTCACAAAAGGCTGCCGGCAGCAGCTGTGTGTCCCCGCACAGGAGTCTGAAGACTTTAGGAGCAGAGAGAAGGATTAGACAGTGATTGCGGTAACTCAGTGATGATGTGTAGATGTTCTTGGCTTGGCTGGGCCTGTACCAAAGTGTAAATGTCCCATTTACAGAAGCCAAGATGAGGAGAGTTACTGAGGAGCATTTGGCCTGTCGGGTACCAACATCTTAAAGACAGTGGAAATGGAGAGGGTGTTGTCAGAGGTTGTGTTTTTCAAAAATTGTTTCTGAAATACAAGGAATTCTTATTTAAAAATTCCAGGAAGTGCAACAGCATCTGTCAATTTGTGGTGGGGAGAAACCATCTTTGGGGAAATCCCAAGTCTGCAGGAATTGATGACATTTAGGGTGTCACCGAAGAGCCATTTGTAGATCAGGCTGGCACCACCTGCCCCTCATCTCGTGTTCTTTGTCTTGTCTTTGGGGTCAGCAGGCACAGGAGGAATCGGCCTTTCCTCTCAGAGGTCCCCAGGTCACTGTGTTGCCTCCTGCTGCCTGGCCCTGTTACTCACCTCTGTCCTCACAGAGGAGGAGGAAGATAAAAGGTGTGAGTTTCTGGTTGTGTCCCATCTTTAAAGATCCTGCTAGCCTATTTAGACTAGCTGAAACTTCCATCCTGTTGTGGATTACATTTTTTTTGGTAAAATATACCTAATGTACAATTTACCATTTTAACCCTTAAAAAGTATACTGTTCAGTGATGTTAAGTACACTCACATGGTCGTGCAACTATCACCCCACCCATCTCCAGAACTTTAGCATCCTCCCAAACTGTCACTCTGTTCCCATTGAACACTAACACCCCACCCCTCCCCCAGGCCCGGTAGCTCCCATTCTACTTTTTGTCTCTGAATTTGGCTATTCTAGGAACCTCATTTGAGTGAATACATACAGGATCTGTCCTTTTGTGTCTGGCTTATTTCACTTAGCATGAAGTCCTCAAGGTTCATCCATGTTGTGGCATGTGTCAGAATTTCCTTCTTTTTAAGGCTGAATAATATTCCACTGCATACATATATATATATATATCACCTTTTGTTTATCCATTCATTTGTCAATGGACACTTTTGTCTATTGCTAACAATGCTGGCTACGAACATGCGTATATGAATATCTTGTTGAAACTTTGCTTTCAATTCTTTTGGGTATATACA